CGCCAGCTTCCAGGGAGCTCCTCTGCTAGATGCCTTGCTGGCCCCCGCCTCCCTGGAGCTTCTACCGTCGAGCCTGACCTCGATCTCGGATACGCGCTCGCGCGCCGCGTGCTGCTGGCACTGGCCGCCGGACTCCCAGTCGGCGTTGGCGTCGCCACGCTACCCAGCGCTGTCCGCGCCGCGGTCGTCGATCCGGTCGGTGCCGCTGTCGGCGCACCCGTCGGCGCCGCAGTCGGCGCGGCCGTCGGTGCCAGAGTTGGCGCAGCAGTCGGTGAGGCTGCCAACGGCGCAGCCGTCGGCCTGGATGTCATTGCCGCAATCGGCGCAGCCGTCGGCGCAGCTGTCGGCGAGGCTGCCGGCGCCGCAGTCGGCGCGGCTGTTCGGGCCGCGGTCGGCGCAGCCGTCGGCGCCGCTGTCGGCGAGGCCGTCGGGGAGGCTGTCGGCGCCGCGGTCCGCATGGCTGTCGGAGCCGCAGTCAGCGCAGCTGCAACAGCAGCTGTCGGCGAGGCTGCCGGTGCCGCAGTCGGCGAGGCTGTCGGTGCCCCAGTCGGCGCAGCTGTTGGCAGGGCCGTCGGCGCGGCATTCGGCGCGGTTGTCGGAGCCGCAGTCGACGCACTTGTCGGCGCGGCTGTCGGTGCCTCTGCCGGTGTCGCTGTCTGCGCTGCCGCCAAAGCCGCAGCCGCCGTCGGAGCAGCCGTCAGCGCCGTTGTCGGCGCAGCTGTCAGTGCCGCCTTCGGCGCAGCTGTCGGTGCCAGCGTCGGGGCAGTTGTCACCGCCGCTGTCTGCGCAGCTGTCGGTGCTGCCTTCGGCGCGGCTGTCAGCGCTGCCGTCGGCGCGGCCACAGGCGCCGCTGTCGGCGCAACTGCAAGTGCCGTCTGCGGCGCAGCGGTCAGTGCTGCTACCGGCGAAATTGCTCGTGTCGCTGTCCGCGCAGCTGTCGGGACCGCCTTCAGCACCGCTGTCAGCGCCGATGTCGGCCTGGCTGTCAATGCCGCTGTCGGCGCAGCTGCTGGCGCCGCCGCCGGCGCGGCTGTCGGTGCCGCTGTCGGCGCAGCTGCTGGTACCTCTGTCGATGCAACTCTCGGTGGCGCCGCTGGCGCAGCTGTCAACGATGCCGTCGGTGCAGCCGCCGGTGCTGCCGTCGGCGCGGCCGGCAGTGCCGCCGTGAGCGCAACTGCCGGTGCCGATGTCAGCGCGGCTGTTGGCGCCGCTGTCGGCGCAGCTGTCTGAGCCGCTGCCGGCGCAGCTGCCGACGCAGCTGTAAGTGAAGGGGCCCCAGGACACACAAATAAATACGCACAAATAAAAATGTTCCCCATATTTTCCTATATTTTCTGGGTTTCTGTCTTCCCCCCCACTTCCCATATTTTCCCATATTTTCTGGGGAATCGACGATTAATTGTGTCTGTGTGTTTCTTTCCCTCCTGAGTAAGTGCCGTCTCCGGTGCAGCTGCCAGTGCCGCTTTCGGCGCAGGTGCCCGCGCTGCTGTCTGCGCGACTGCCGGAGCCGCCCTCGACTCTGCTGCCGGCGCCGCTGTCGGCCTGGCCGTTAGCGCCGCTGTCGACGCAGCTGTCGGCGCCCTCCTCGGCGAAGCTGCCGCTGCCGCCCTCAGCGCAACTGTCGGTGCCGCTGTCGGCGTGGCCGTCAGTGCCGCTGTCGGCACAGCTATCAGTGATGCCTTCGGCACAGCCGTCGGCGCCGCTGTCGGCCTGGCTCTGCATACCGCCGTCGGGGCAGCTTCCAACACCGAGGTCGGCGCAGCTATCGGCGCCGCTGCCGACTCAGCTGTCAGTGCCGTCGTCGGCCCAGCTGTCGGCGCCGCCGACGGCCCAGCTGCCGGCGCCGCCTTCGGCGCAGCCGTCGGGGCCGTTGTCGGCGCAGCTGTCGGTGCCGCTTTCGGCGCAGCTGTCGGCGCCGCTGTCGGCGCAGCTGTCACTGCCGCTGTCGGCGCAGCTGTCGGCGCCGCCTTCGGCGCAGCTGTCAACGCCGCTGCACGCGCGGCTGCCGGTGCCGCCCCTTGCGTAGCTGTCAGTGCCGCCATCAGGGCGGCCGTTGGCGCCGTCCTCGGCACGGCTGCTAGTGCCACTGTCGTCCCAACTGTCGGGGCCGCCGTCAGCGCAGCTGTCGGTGCCGCTCCCGGCACAGCTGTCCGCGCCGCCTTCGGCGCAGCTGTCAGTACCGCCGTCGGCCCGGCTATGTTGAACGCCAACGCCCTGGTGCGAAGCTTGACTATGGCCGGCACGATCTGGGTGGCGACTGGCGCGCCTTCCCCCATGCCGTCGCGCTGCCAGCCGCGCTTCTATGGCCTCCAGCGCGCCTTGGCACTCCTGCTGAGGCGCCCGCGGCTGCCGCGCGCCCGGCTCCAGCCAGGGGGCACCAGCAAGGACTCCGGTGCCTGCAGCGAGCGCCCCAGCCGCGGCGAGCCGCCCTTTGGCAGCGGCGCCCCTCGACGATGTCCTCAGCGTCGGCCAGAGGCGTTCTTCGCCGCCCTCCTCGTGGTCGCCGCCCTCCACGACGCCGCGCGCGTCACCGTAGTGCTTGCCGTCGTACTCGTCGTACTTGGGCTTGTGCTTGTGCTCGCTGTGTTCCTCCTGGTCGACGCCCGCCAGGCCACGGTCTGCGGCGGGCCCCGCCTCGCGGAGCCGCAGGCTGGACGCCAGCCTCGCACCGCCTAGGCGCGACCTCACGTCGCGAGGTCGGCGCCTCTCGCGGCCCCAGCCTGCGGCGGGCTCCGCCGCGCAAGGCAGCAGGCTGGGCGCCGACCTCGTCTCGGCCCAGCGCGGCGCTATGCCGCGCAGCAGGGGCCTCCACCTCCTCCTCCTCCTCCTCCTCCTCCTCCTCCTCCTGCAGCCCCGGCCTGCAGCGGGCTCCGCCTCGCGGAGCAGCAGGCTGGGCATCGACCTCACCTCGGCCCAGCGCGGCGTGCTGCAGCGCAGCGGGGGCCGCCTCCTCCCGCCCCAGCCTGCAGTGGGCTCCGCCTCGCGGAACAGCAGGCTGGGCATCGACCTCGCCTCGGCCAAGCGCGGCGTTCTGCCGCGCCGCGGGGGCCGCCTCCTCCAGCCCCAGCCTGCATTGGGCTCCGCCGCACGGAACAGCAAGCTGGACACTGACCTGTCCGCGCCACTTTCGGCGCGGGCGTCGGCCCTGCGGTCAGCGCCGCAGCCTGCACAGCTGGCGGCACCGCGGTCTGCGCGGCTGTCGGTACCGCAGCCATTGCCGATGTCGACGCACTCGCGGGTGCAGCTGTCGGCGTCGATGTCCGTGCCGCTGCCGGCGCATTCGTCGACTCTGCCGCCAGCTCGCCCCTCGACGCCGCTTCCGGCGCGGTCCCTGGCGTTGCCGTCGGCACATCTGTCGGCGAGGCCGTCGGTGCCGCAGCCGGCTCGGCTGCCAGTGCTGCGGCTGGCGCTATCGTCGCCGCAGTCGCCGCGGCCTTCGGCGCGGCCGTCGACGCCGCAGCCAGCGCAGCTGCCGGCGTGCCTGGCGGCGCCGCGATTGATGCCGCTGTCGGCGTGATTGTCGATTCCACGGCCAGCGCTGCCGTCAGCGCCGCAGTCGAAGAGGCTGTTGGCGCCGCGGTCGACGTAACCGTCAGCGAGGCTGCCAGGGCCGCAGCTGGCGCAGCGGTCGGAGCCGCCGTCGGCGCCGCGGTCGCCCTGGCGGCCCCCGCAGCTGTCGGCGCCCGAGTAGATGCTGGGATCGGCGAACTTGCCATGGGGCCGGTCGGCGGTCTCGTGGGCGCGGATGCCAGCGCGCCCGCTAGTGCCGTAGCCGGCGCAGCTGCTGGTGACGCGGTCGGCGGGGCCGTCGGCGCATCTGTCGGTACCGCAATCGACGTGGCTGTCGGTGAGCGGGTCGGTGCGGCCTTTGGTGCGGCGGTCGCTGCAGCGGCCGCTGCAGCAGCCATCGCAGTTGCTGGCGACGCCGTCGGCGAGGCGGTTGGTGACGCTGTCGGCATGGCCGTCGGAGCCGTTGTCGGCGCGGTTGACGGGGCTGTAGTCGGCGCCGCTGCGGCGGTCGCTGCAGCGGCCGCTGCAGCAGCCATCGCAGTTGCTGGCGACGCCGTCGGCGAGGCGGTTGGTGACGCTGTCGGCATGGCCGTCGGAGCCGTTGTCGGCGCGGTTGACGGGGCTGTCGTCGGCGCAGCTGTTGATGCCGTTATGGGCGCAGCTGCCGACGCACCCGCCAGCGCAGCTGTCGGTGCCGCCGTCGGCGCGGCTGCTGGGGCCGCGGTCCGCACGACCCTCAAGGCAGCCGGTTGTGAGGCTGTCGGCGCCGTAGTCGGTGCAGCCGCCAATGCGGCGGTCGTTGCGGCTGTCGGCGCAGCTGCTGGCAGCGCCATCGCCGCCGTCGCTGGGTCGGACGTCGAGGCAGAGGGCATGGCAACCGTGGCCTCCGTCAGCGACGCCGTCGGCGCACCCGGTGCCGCCGCTACCGGCGCGGCCGCCGGCACAGCTGCCAGCATCGCGGCCGATGCCGCAGACGGCGGACATGTCGGGGAGCCGCTCGGTGCCCCGGCTGGGGCCGCCGACGCCGCAGGTGGTGGGCTCGTCGGGGAGCCGCTCGGTGCCCTCGCCGGGGCCGCTGTCGGCGTGGCTGTCGGGGCCACCGCCGGCGAAGTTGTTGGCACCGCAGTCGGCGGGGCTGCCGATGCCGCAGTCGTCGCAGCTGTCGGCTCGCTCGTCGTCGCAACCGTCGGTGTCGCTGTCGGCGCCGTTGTCGGTGCAGACGGTGGTTCCGCGGCCAGCGCTGCTGCCTGCGCCGCCGTCGGCGCGGTTGTTGGCGCGTTCCCCGTCGTCCTTGACGTCGTCCCAGTACTCTCCTGCCCCATCCTCCGCTGCGCCAACTTCCCTAGCATCCTCATCCTCATTCCCTACCTCTCCACAGTCCACTTCAAGCACATCCACCTCAAGTACCTGCGCCTCCTCCTTCTCCTCCTCTTCCTCCTCCGCCATCTCGGTCTTCTCCGGGGCCTCCCTCGCGGCCTTGGCGGGGGAACTGTGCGGGCCGTCGTCTGCGAAGGCTTTCGTGGCCTCCGCGGGCGCCTCTAGCCCGTCGTGGACGCCGTCCAGGAGGCTCGCGCTGGGGGCTCTGGCAGCTTCTACCAGCGCCTCGCGCGGCCCGCCCAGCGCCCCGTCCAGCACGAGCGCCTCCTGCCACCAGCTCCGCTCGGGCCCCGACTGATGCCGCAGCTTCTCGCCCTCTTGGTACCGCTCCCGATCCTGCTGCCTCTGCGCGGGCTCGGTCCCCCCGAAATTTGGAAGGGGGTCTTGCTCCAGGGCAGTGTCCTGCCCGGCCCGTGCCACCCCCACCCCTCCACCTTCGCCACTATGGCGGCGCCGTTCGGCGCTGCCCTCCTCTGGTCCTGGCCTGCAGCGGGCTCCGCCTTGCGGAACCACAGGCTGGGCGCCAACCTCGCCCCTGCCCGGCTCGGCGTCATGCCGCGCAGCGGGGGCCTCTGCTCGCTGTCGCACTCGCCGTAGTGCCTGTACTCGCGTTTGCTGTGGTCCCCGTGGTCGGCGCCCTCCAGGCCGTCACACTCGTCGTCGTGGAGCTCGCCGTCGCACACGTCGCCGTCGTGGTACTTGTGCTCGTCGGGGTCTTCGTGGCCGGCGCCCTCCGCGCCGCCGTAGATGTCGTCGCCGCCGCGAGGCCGATGCTGCTGGCTGCCGCAGTGCCGCGTCGCCGGACGGGGGCTGACGTCGGAGCCGCCGTCGGCGCAGCAGGCGGGCACCCCGTCGGCGACGCAATCGGCATGGCCATCGCCGTAGCCGTCAAAACCCTCATCGATGCCGACGTCGGCGCGGCTGTCGGCGCAGCTATCGGGGGTTCCGCCGATGCTGCCGCCGGCGCGGCTGTCGCCGTGGCCGTCGGAGGCCTCGACAAGGACATTGTCGTCGCGACCGCCCGCGCGGCGCTTGGAGGCCTGGCCGACGTTGCGGTCGGCATGGCCAACGGCAGGGTCGTTGCAGACCTTGACGACGCCGCGATCGGCGCGGCCGTCGACCCAGCAGGCCGAGACCTTGTCGCCGCGGCTGTCAGGATCGCTGCCGGCGCAATCGTCGGTGCCCTCGGTGACGCTGCTGTCGGCGCGGCCGCCGGCGTCGCGGGTGTAGACCCCATCGGTGCTATTGCTGGCAAGGCCGCTGCTAGGGCCGCTACAGGCCTCGTCGGGGAGGGTGTCGGGGCTGCCGTCGGCACAGCGGCCTGATACCTTGTCGGCGATGCCGTCCGCGCGGCCACGGACGTAGCCGTCGGGCCACCTATCGATGCTGACGTCGCCGCGGCTGTCGGCACAGCATTGGGAGACCCCGCCGACATTGCTGCCCACGTGGCCGTCGTCGTAGCCGCCGGGGGCCTCAGCGAGGCCGCTGTCGTCGCGGCTGCCCGCGCGGCGCACGGAGGCCTGGCCGTCGAAGACCCTGACGATGCCGTCGTCGGCACGACGGTCGACCCGGTGGGTGGAGACCCTGTCGCCACGGCCTTCGGTGTAACCGTAGGCGCAGCCGTCGGTGACCTCGGTAACGGCGCTGCCGGAGCGGCCGTCGGCGCGGCAGGTGGAGACCTTGTCGGCGCTGATGTCAGCGCAGTCGGCGGAGCTGTCGGCGACCTCGTCGCTGCGGATGCCAGAGCAGCCGTAGGCGCAGCAGTCGGGCACCTTCTCGATGCTGCTGCGGCTGCAGCCGTCGGTGCCGACGACGAGTCTCCCGTCAAGGCTGTTGTCTGCATGGCCGTCGGGGGAGCCTTCGAAGACCTTGTAGACGTCGCTGCCGCTGTGGCCGCGGTCATCTCGGCCGCCAGGGGCCTCGGCGATGCTGCTGTCGTAGCGGCCCGCGTCGTAGGCCTGTCCCAGATACGCCCTACCGGCGGCGGCGGCGTGACCGCACGCCTGCCATACCGACGACGTCGACGATCCCAGGGTCGGGACTTCGCCCACCCGACCTCCTCCGCTCACCGGGTGCCTATCCTGGCGGGGGCGGCGGCGCTGTTGAACGCCTGCCCCAGCGCCGGCGGCACTCCCCGAGGCCATGGCGGGCCTGACCTTGTCGATGTCGCTGCCGCCGTGGCCGCGGTCATCTCGGCCGCCAGGGGCCTCGGCGACGCTGCTGCCGTAGAGGCCCGCGTCGTAGGCCTGCCCCGGATCCGCCTTACCGGCGGCGGCGGCGTCACCGCACGCCTGCTTTACCGCCGATGTCGACGATCCCAGGGTCGGGACTTCGCCCACCCGACCTCCTCCGCTCACCGGGTGCCTATCCTGGCGGGGGCGGCGGCGCTGTTGCACGCCTGCCCCAGCGCCGGCGGCACTCCCCGAGGCCATGGCGGGCCTGACCTTGTCGATGTCGCTGCCGCCGTGGCCGCAGTCATCTCGGCCGCCAGGGGCCTCGGCGATGCTGCTGCCGTAGAGGCCCGCGTCGTAGGCCTGCCCCTGATCCGCCCTACCGGCGGCGGCGGCGTCACCGCACGCCTGCCTTATCGAAGGTAGCGACGATCCCAGAAGTGGGACTTCGCCCACCCGACTTCCCCCGCTCACGGGGGGCCCATCCGGGCGGGGGCGGCGGCGCTGTTGCACGCCTGCCCCAGCGCCGGCGGCACTTCCCGAGGGCAGGGCGAGCCCGACCTTGTCGACGTCGCTGCCGCCGTGGCCTCGGTCGTAGCCGTAGGGGGCCTCGGCGAGGCTGTTGGGCAATTATACCTGCTCCTGGTGGTGCGGAACGTGGATGTCCGCGATCGTGCCCGCAATGGCGGCGAGCGTTCCCGTGACGATCTCGACTGGTTGCCCCCCTCGACCTCTTCGTCGCCCGCCTCGCCGTCCTCGTCGTCGCCCGTCTACCGCGACGATCTCGACTGGCTGCTCCTCCACGTCATCGCCCTCCTCTCTGTATACACCGCCACCATGACAATGTCGACCACGATCTTCAACAGCTGCTCGGACTTGGGCTCCAAGAGGGTGAGGAGGTCCTGGATGTCCCAGCCAAGCTCGATCAGCACGTTGGCGACCTTCCCCGCTAACCCGGGCTGGTACTCTGCATCGGAATACTTGGCGATCATGGGGCGAAGCTTCTGGCCGACAATATGCTTCTGCATGGCGGGCGGCTCGGCGGCGAGCGCCGATGCTGACAGCGGTGCACCTGCGTCGCCAGCTGGCTGCGCCACCGCGGACGCCTCTGCGCTCAGCCGGACGGCCCCCGCGGCAGACGCCTCTTCACCGTCCTCGTCGCCCGCCTCACCGTCCTCGTCGCGGTCCCTTTCGTACTCCTCGAACTCCTCCGAGGCGAGGCCTGCGCTCGGGGGCGGTGGCCATAAGTCGGCCGCCGAAGCTGCTGCTGCCAGCGTGGCGTACGCGAGTTCCGTCGCGGGTTTCGCCCTGGCCTGTATCCCCCTGAAGGCGCGGCATTGCTGCTCGCCTGCCTCTTCGGAGGCGGCGGCAGCACCCAGCGTGCCCGCCTCACGGTTGTCCGCCGTCTCGCATAAGTCGGAGACCCTAGCGATGCCGCTGTCGGCGCGACCGCTGGCGCGGCAAGTGGGGACCGTGTCGACGCTTCTGTCGGCGCGGCCGTCTGGGCAGACGCCGGAGACCTCGGCGACGCTGCTGTCGACGCGGCCGCCTGCACGGCGTACGGAGGCCTCGCCGCCGCTACTGTCGGCGGAACCATCGAAGATCTCGAAGGTGACAACATCGGCGCGGCTGTCGACGCAGCAGCTGGACACCTTGTCGACACTGCTGGCGGCGGCGCGGTCGTCGGACCTCTCATCGGCTCCGATGCTGGAGCCGTCGGGCCTCTGGTTGAGGCCGATGCCGGCGCGGCCGTCGGTGAAGCGTTCGACGACCTTGACAACTTTGCCGTCGTCGTGGCCGTCGGGGTAGCCGTCGGAGGCCTCCAGCGCGAGGTGGTGCGGCACGTGGATGTCCACGGTCGCGTCCTCCCCGCTCTCCCGCACGGCCACTTCCAGCCAGCGGCCGGCTGCCTTCTGGCCTGAACGACTCGCCGGCCGTGCGACGCTTGAAGGACCCTGGCCTGGCGGCCCCACCAGGGGCACATCGCGCACGCCCGGTGGGCTTCTGCCCGGCGGCTCCGCCAGCAATGCCTTGCGCATGCCAGGCGGGCTAGGGGCCGGAATCTGGTCCTCGTCGATGCCCTCGACCTCGCTCTCCTCCGCCTGCACGTCGACCACGTCGCAGTACATGCAGGGCACGTAGTACAAGGGCCAGCTGCGGGCCGCGCCGGGCTCCTCGATGCTCAGCGCCAACCCCGCCACCAGCAGCACCACGTAGGGCAAGCTGCAGACCGCGCCGGGCTCCACGAAGCTCAGCGCCAACCTAGCTGCTCCCCAGCCCTCAATCCAGGAGATATCTGGCTCCTGCGGGGCCCTCTGGGCGTCCGCCTCTCCTCCGCCCCTGGCCAGAGGCTCTGCCGGCGGCATCCTGTGCGCACCTGGCGGAGCCTCGCCTGGGCCCTTCGGGCGAAAGGCCTTACCGCTGACATCCACGTTGACCGGCTCCGCGACCCGCACGTACCCGTCGTCGTAGTACATGTAAGAGGCGCCGAAGTACGTTTCCAGGTACCTGCGCAGCGCCTCTGTCCCCACCTCCGCCTCGCCGTCGTCAAAGTGGAGCCCACCGCGACCTGGCCAGCGAGTTGTGGTCTGGCTCCAGGCCGCGCCGGGCACGGCACCCAGCGCCCCGGCAGCCAAGGCCACCTTCGGCGCGCCTCCGCACGCCAGGAGCCTCAGCAGCCCCATCAGCAGGCCAGCGGCGGCCGACGTCGCGCGGCAAGCCCGCACGGTGGTGACCGCGGGCGGCGGTAGGCTGTTGGTCCGGCTGTCGGAGACTTTGACGGTGTTGCTGTCGGCATGGCCGTCAACGTAGCCGGCGGGCCTCGCGTTGGTCCCAGTGTGAGCGCGACCATCGGCACAGCGCTCGGGGGCCTTGGCAGCAATGCTGTCGGCGTGGCTGCCGGTGTAGCCGTCGAATGCCTTGGCGACGCTGTCGTCGACGCAGTATGTACGCGCGCCGGACGCCAACCGGGCCCGCGCGACCCTCGGCGCCAGCACCTGCTTCTCCCGAGTGCCCTTCGGCGCGTGGGTGCCGGCGTAAGCGCAGGGCTTCTCCGTGGGCGTCGAGCCGAGGCCAGCGTCGATGCTGGCGTCGCTGCTGGGATGGGCGCAAGCGCTGGTGCCACAGGGGGCGCACAACGTGGCCGCTGGCAGGGGGTCGCTGCTGGAGTCGATGCTGAGGGCAACGCTGGCGTGGGCGCAGGCGTTGGTGCCCGCGTCGAAGAAGATGTAGCTGTAGGCGTCGGTGCTGTCGTAGGCGAGCGGCGTGGCTGCTAGCGCAAAGTCGCCGTTGGCGTTGAAGTTGGGGTCGACGCCGATGTAGACGTAGGCGTTGGTACTGGCATCGATGCTGGCGTCGCCGTAGGCATCGGTGCCGCCGTAGGCGCACAACGTGGCCGCTGGCATGGAGTCGCTGCTGGAGTCGATGCCGGTGTCATCGCTGGTGTGGGCGCAGGCGTTGGTGCCGGCATCGATGCTGGTGTAGCCGTAGGCGTCGGTGCCGTCGTAGGCGCACGTGGCTGCTAGCGCGGGGCCGCCGTTGGCGTCGAGGTTGGGGTCACCGCCGAAGTGGATGCAGACGCTGGTGCCGGCATCGATGCCGGTGTAGTCGTAGGCGTCGGTGCCGTCGTAGGCGCACAACGTGGCCGCGGGCGCGCAGTCGCTGCCGGAGTCGGTGCTGGGGTCAGCGCTGCTGCGGGCGCAAGCGTAGGCGTCGACGTCGATGCTGGTGTAGCCGCAGGCGTCGGTGCCGTCGTAGGCGCACGACGTGGCTGCCAGCGCGGAGTCGCTGTTGTGGCCGATATTGGGGTCAACGCCGATGTAGACGCAGGCGTTGGTGCAGGCGTCGGCGCCCGACGTGGCCGCTGGGAAGACGAGATCCTCCCGGGGGTGCGGCGCGTGGATGTCCACGATCACGCCCGCCGTGACGACGGGCGCCGCTGCGCCGATCCCGACGAGCTGCCCACACTGCCCCTCCCTGGGGCTGTGAACGGCTCCCTCCCGAGGCCTCGAGCACAGCTCGGCCCGGGGGGGTGGAGCTGGGAGGGGGGCCTCTCCAAGGGGTGCGTTTTGACCAGGGGCTCGAGGTCCTCTGGGCGAGCATGCCCTGAAATTCGAACCTCGTCCCGAAAATCGTCGAAAGCTCCTCCAACTCCTCGTCCTCCTCCCTCGCTCGCTTCGCACCTCGTGCCTGCCCCCCGACTCCGAGAAACGGCGCGGCCACGGCCGTCCAGATGTCGCTGTGCACCCGATCATCCTCTGATCCTCCTCGTCGTCCTCCTCGTCGTCCTCCGCGTCGTCGTCGGCGAAGCCCTTGGTCATCTGGGCGCTGCGGGGCACCTGGTCTTCCTCGCCGTCCTCCGCGTCGTCCGCCGCGTAGTCGCCCTCGCGGTCCCCGGCGTGCTCCTCCTGCCTCTCCATGAGGTCGGCGGGGGGCGGGTTCCCGAAGGGGTCGAAGAGGCCGCCGATGCTCCCGGCGCCGATGGAGCCGTAGAAGCCCGCGTCTGCACGCGCCTCGCCGGGGGCGGCGGCGTTACCGCACGCCCGCCCTACCGACGGCAGCGACGTTCCCACCGCGGGGTGCTCGGCCAGGCGAGGGCGGCGGCACTGCGGCTCGCCTGCCCCAGCGCCGGCGGCACTCCCCGAGGGCGGAGAGGGACCCTGAGTGGCCACTCCCCTGGTGGCTCGCGTCGAGACCTGGTCGCACAGGACCCAGAGGCTCCCGTCATGGTGCCACAGCGAGGCAGCGGCGCCGTCACGCCCACGACCCTCTCGAGCAACCGCGTCAGGCAGACGATCGGCGAGCCGGCTGGTTTCCCGGTCCTTGGCCTGCTCCTCCTTATAGCCCTCCTGGTCCTCGTCGTCGTGGTCCTCGTCGTCCTTCTCGTCGTTGCCGTCCTCGCCGCGGGTCGGCTCCAGCGGCTCGTCCCCGAGGCCTGGCAGCCCCACCAACAGCATCAGCAGGGCCCAGGGCGGCCGCGCCGCGGCACCCGCTAGGCGCTGGGATGCCACACCGCTGGTCGTCTGTGCGGCCTGGGGCAGCTGCCGCAGCGCTACCCCCGAGCCGCCCGGGCTGGGCGCTGGCGCGGTGTCGCGCCCGGCCGCCCCCGCCCGGCCTCGAGCCAGTGCCGGCGCTTTGGCGCGCCCGGCCCCTCGCTCGGCGGCGGCCTGCGGCGGCCGCACAACAGCCGCCCCCCAGCCACCTGGCGTCTTGGGCGGCTGTGCTGCCGCCCCCCAGCCGCTCTGGGAGCTCTGGCTCTGGGAACTCTGGCTCTCGGATTGGGGCGGCGGCGCCGCTGCCCCCTGGCCGCTACAGGTGGGCGCCGGCGCGGGGGTGCGCTCAGTCGCCTTGGCCTGGCATCGAGCCGGCGCCGGCGCTGCGCGCCTGGTCACCCGCTCGGGAGAGCTCTGGCTCTGGGAGCTCTGGCTCTGGGAGCGCTGGCTCGGGGAGCCCCGGCTCTGGGAGCTCTGGCTCTGGGAGCTCTGGCTCTCGGCTTTGGGCGGCGGCGCCGCTGCCCCCTGGCCGCTACAGGTGGGCGCCGGCGCGGGGGTGCGCTCAGTCGCCTTGGCCTGGCATCGAGCCGGCGCCGGCGCTGCGCCTCTGGTCACCCGCTCGGGGGAGCTCTGGCTCTGGGAGCTCTGGCTCTGGGAGCTCTGGCTCGGGGAGCCCTGGCTCTGGGAGCTCTGGCTCTGGGAGCTCTGGCTCTCGGCTTTGGGCGGCGGCGCCGCTGCCCCCTGGCCGCTACAGGCGGGCGCCGGCGCGGGGATGCGCTCAGCGGCCTTGGCCTGGAATCGAGCCGGCGCCGGCGCTGCGCGCCTGGTCACCCGCTCGGCGGTAGGCTGCGGCGGCCTCGCGACCGCCCCCCAGCCACCTGGCGCCCCGCGCGGCGGCATGGCGCAGCCGCGCGCGAGCTCTCCGGGAACCCGGAGTCTTCTGGCCCTCCGGAGTGGGGCTCCGGAGGACCGGCCCTAGGCCACCTGAGGCCGACCCCCAGCTTGGCCCAGAAAGGCTTGAGCCCCCGACGGGGGAGAGGGGGGAGAGGGGAGAGAGGGGCAAAGCAGAGGCAAGGGCAGAGAGAGAGGGAAGCCCGCGCCGATCTGATCTGGGGGTACGGTGAGCCATTAGTTTTGCCAAACATCCTAGAATCCCACACGCGAGAGCTCTGCTGCGGAGGCAATCCTTTGCGAACTCGCTGCAAAGCCTGCAGCTGCTTAGGGGAAATACGGTGCGGCCCATCCAGGGCCACAACGCAACCAGCTAACAGGTTGACCGGTCGCTGCGTGGCCCACGCACCACACAAACCACAAAATGTATATTTGCCTTTATGCCACAGCTCATGTGAAGAAGATAGTTGCTGCCCTGCAATGAAAGCAGGGTGGGATACGAGCACAGGCGGATCTTCCATGCCAAGCCTGATCCAAAGGGCACCATCGATAGGGGCCAGGGGACCAGGCGCAGACCACAGGCGGGGGGGCGGGACAGGGGCCCTCGGAGCCAGGGCCGCGCAGGCAGAAAGGACACGGTCCCGAAACCCCCGAGTCTTTTCTTTGGCATGGAGTCCGCATTCAGAACAGCGCCAGAGACCAGGCGCGTGCAATTCAAAGTGGTGCTGCGATCGGCTCACAAAATCTACTCGCTTCTGGCGGAGGGCGAGCAGCCTCGGAACCTTTGCTTTCACGACCACGCGCTCCTTGTTCTTCGGGGGGGGGGGGGGGGCGGCAGCGGGGAAGCAGGACCTCTGCTGCAGCAGCCAGGCGGACGCGGCCGCGGTGCTCCTTCCCGTGCGCGAAGCGGTACACCACGGGCAGCACCAGAGCGCGCTGGGGCAGGAGAGACTGCGCCGCGCGGGCGTCGATGCGGCCCCACCTCGCGGTCTCGGCGGGCACAGGACGGTTTCCAGATGGTCTGTGCAAGTCGCATGCAGTTCGCAAAGCTCTGCCCGCCACCGTTCAGAAGAAGGAAAGACAAGACAAGACTGAACTCTGTCGCGAGAGCTCCCATCACCCCCTCGCTGGCCCTGCCTCCAGCTCCTATTCTGGGGTGCGTCAGCTGTCCTGGCTGTGCCGATCCTGGGCCCAGGATTGGCCTGGCCAGGATCGTTGAGGTGGCAGGGCTTACCCACTTTCTCAGTCCCTGCCTCCCCCCCGATCCGCTCGAGACGTTACTGTCCCCGAGACAATGGATCAGGCTGAATTTGGCTTCCGCGGCGTGCCAGCGTGCTTCTCACACGCACCCTCTCCATGCGAACTGAGACGCCGCGTCTGAACAGATGGTGTACTCGTACTGTAGTTCGAGGGCGCATACCGCTTTGGCAAGAGCGCGCCTGATCTGCTGCGATGCGCCACCGTCTGACGGCAAATCTCAACGCACCCACCTAGTCACCCCACCTGGACCAGAATCCGAGATTCTGACTTATCGCTCCGGGCATGTTGTAAGGTAACTCCAACGAACAACTGCTTGAAGCGTTACGCTAGCGAGGGGGGTTCAGATGTGCACGTGTTGAACGGGCAGGGCACGCAGTGGACCGCTCAGCAGACGGGGTGATGGCAAGGCACTGGGCGTTCTGCGCAGACTTGTGGCACTGCACACACGGGATCGAAGCCGCATGTCTTAGAGGCACGCGCTGGAGCAACCCTGTGCACGCATCTGCGCTTTGGATAAGTACTCGTCGCTAGTATTCACAGCTTCTGCGTTGCATTCGCGTGCTTCGGTGGCGCCAACAAGTGCGGCATGCAATTACGCGTGCGCACGCAAACGCCGTCCTCCTTGCTCATTCCCGTATTCGCCCTCTTCATGCTCCCTGCCCCTCGTCATGCTCGTCTTCCTGCTCATCGTCCTCATTATCCTCATCCTCTTCACACTGTGCATATCAAACGCTCGCTCGATATATATATATATATATATACATATACATATATATATATATGCCGAGGACATCACGGTCGTACCCGTTAGCACGCTAGATAGCATCATCAAGATCTCTACTAAGGTGTTCCGAGTGTTGGCAAACCTCTTGCAGGATATCGGGCTCCCACCAGCTAAAGGTAAAATGACTCTTACCCCGAGCGTACCTCAGTCGGCACATCGTGGTCGCTCGTCTGGCTTCTTTTGGTTACTGCTATCAATCCGCAGTGGAAGTCTTGGGAATTGAAGTGGCCTCAGGTAGGCCTCTGAGTATAGTCGGCTTCGTGAACGTGTCAAAGCTGCCTCCAAACGGAATCCCCGCTTGCAACAAGTACGGCGTGTCGGACCGTTGCTATGCAAATTTGTTCGTCAAGCGCTTCCGAGTTCCACGAGTTATGGCATTGGGGTACATGGAGCGACTCTGCAGTTGGTTTCAAAAATGCGTTCGGCACTTCGTTCTTGCCGGTATTCACCAGGCCCGACGACTTCGGCCTGGATCACCAGTTTTATACAAGGATCACCTTTATCCGACCCTCAGGTGCAGGCATGGGTCGCACCTTTGGTCCACTGGGCGACGCTATGCAGAGAGCCAATCCTTTCAGCCAATGAATTACAGCAACGTGGAAACAAAGGTTTACTTCTCGGATCGGCCCTGGAGGATGGTTGCAGGCCCCGCTGGGGCCATGCTGTTGTCGCTGACAGCTCTCCGATGGTCTTCAAGCTCAGCATTTGTTTGGAAGACCGATGCTGGAGACATTCTGGACCTGAGGACCTCGGCCCCCTCCTCGGTCAGAGAACTCAGGAACGCGACCGCGCTGAGGAGGCTTTGGGAGTCTTGGGCTCGTCGTCCTAACCCTGCTGACGATCTGATGGCCCCAAATGAGCACATCGGGTACTGGATTAAGCTCATTGTTGACGTACTCAAGCGTTGCCAAGGTGATAAACTGGAGGAGGAGGAGGAGGACGACGACGACGACGACGACGATGGAAATGTGGATGCAGGTGAGGATGAGGGAAGAGATCCTGGTGGAGATCAAGAGCTTTCTTGTGCACCCTGGGTCCCTACTTTCAACCAGGCCGCGATGCTTCGTGCGATAGTTGGAGGCGGCTTGTGGTCTCCAGCTTGACTCAAGTTGTGAGGATATGTTGACCGAGCAGATTGCCTGGCCTGCTCATCTCAGCATTGTCAATCACATCATCTTGTTTGGCGTTGCCCTGGATGCGCTGACGAGCGTGCCAATGCACTTCGCACCCTGGACAGCAGGGGCTTGCCGCCAAAAGAAACTGGGTCGTGGTTCTGAGACAGGGGTCTGTGTCCACGGAGCTGCTTCCCACCACTGCCGCCAAAGGATACGTCAGGCCGGTTGCACGTTCACTACGGTCGTGCAGACGTCCTCACGGGCATCGTGTACACTGATGGGGCATGCAAGCGTTTCTGGTACTGGCCCGAAGCAGTCAGAGCAGGGTGCTGTTTTGCTCAGCTCGCTGACGGCAGGATTGATGTACTTGTGTCTAGGAGCCCTCCCAGGACCAATTCAGACATCCCCGAGATCTGAGTTATATGCCTTCCTGCAGGTTTTACAAATAGCTATGCCTCCTCGAATCGTTCACACTGGTTATGAAGCCTTGTTTCGGGCCTGCACAATGGCCCACAATGATGTTGTCACCCCCGTGGGCAAAAGTTGACCGTTGGGAGGCCATTTGGAGCAAGGTGCGAGATGTAGGTGAAGTTGGTGAGGGCGTGATAGTGAGGCATGTTAAAGCTCACCAGAGAGGTGATAACGAACTTGTGCGGGCGAACCGATGGGCTGATTGCCACAAGGTGTCAAGACTTCGATTCGGTTTCCCGCCAATACGCGACATGTATGAAGATTGCTTTAGTCTCCGTTCAGAAAAATGAAGTGGCAGGTTGCCGCTAATTTGCAAATCGTTGCCCACGGCAAAGTCACCACTGCCCATCGGAAAACGAAGATTTGTGGTCGGGTTACCAGCTCCACCGTTTCTCGGAAGCCTCCCGAGCCTCCTGATGAGCTCTGTCATGTTGTTTCGCAGGTCTCAGGCAGACGGATTTGGAGGTGTAATATTTGCATTGGTCTGTCCTCGGGTTCGCGTGATGTCAGGACGCGTGTGACCTTCGCGCCCATCCAGCAGGTCCGTACCCCAGCTTCGGATGAGCTCCCTCTTGCACAGATGAGCGTCATGGAGCCCAGCTCCGAGCGCAGGCGCATGGGCAAGCCACCGCTTTCTGCTATGACTGTTCCTGCGTGTCAGCCGCCCGCGCCTGGCACCGTTCGTCACCTCGCTGCGAGGGGCCACTGCTGTTGGGTCTCTCCTGGGCGTGGTGCTCTGCATTCGTTGCGGATTTGGTTCAACAGGAGTTGCAAGACACTGACTGTTGGATTGTGAATTGCCACGGACTCTCTCGGAACGGGCTGCTCGCAATCGCAAGCTCTTCTTAGACTGCCAGCACCAAGCGGATGAGGGGAAGGTTGGCAGCAGACGGATCCCCGCCCCGCGCCCCTTGCAGGTCACGGACCCAGAGGTCACTTGGCTTCGTCTGGGGGTGGGGGTCCTGAGTTAAAACTCGTTACAGCTCGACTTGCTTTGTTTCCAGAGGCGGTCGGCGGTCGGACGGAGCGTCTGGGGCGCGAGAGAGGCGCGCCCGCGCGCGCGCGCCCCGCGGCCCCTGAGCTTCGTCTACAGGCGCGCCCAGCCGCGCCCCCCACCCGCCCACGCCGCCTCTATCGCCTTTCTCTGCGTGCTCGTGCCTTCCTCGGCCGCGTTCTGCTCTGGTGGGTCGGCGGTGGCGCACTCGAGCACAGCGGGGGCCACCTGGCCTGCCTCATTCTGCCGTGGCCGTCCTGCGCACGGCGCGACGGGCTTCCAGGCAGTGCGATATGCAGCATACTCCTCATAATCCTCTTCCTCCTCCTCCGCCTCCTCCTCCTCCTTCTCCATCCTCTAATTATCCTCTATCCTCGCCTCCTCCTCCTCCTCCAACTCCTCCTCTATCATCTTCTTCCTCCTCCTCCTCCTCCTCCTTCTCCTCTTCCTCCTCCTCCTCCTCCTCCTCCTCCTCCTCCTCCTCCTCCTCCTCCTCCTCCTCCTCCGCCTCCGCCTCCTCCTCCTCATCCTCGTCCTCGTCCTCGTCCTCGTCCGCCTCCTCTTCCTCTTCCTCCTTCGATCCCGGCCGGGCCTCCCCAGGAGCCCAGAAAATTGGTGCAAATGCCGTCCTGGCCTGGCGGGAAGGCGCGTGCAGCAACCGTGGGTCCGAGATCGACCTGGCCAAGATGGGTGCAGGTGTACGCTTGGCGTCCTGCAGTGGGACCTGGGCTAGAAGAACATCCCTCAAGAACACGAGACCCTCCGCCGGCCAAGACACACAGAACATCCAGGGATATCCTCCCCAGGAGGCACGGGAGCATCCAACGAAGACGAAGGGCACCAGGGTACCCTCCCCGAACCGACCTCGATCTCATACCTCGGTCCGACTGTGCTCGCGTCCCACCTACTACCACCATCCCGGCGGCCCCCGCGGAGGCCTGGCAACGCTCTGGTGGGAGAGGGACACGTCCTCCCAAATCGGGTGGAAGTCCTGGCGTGCAGGCAAACCCTCCATCCCGCCGTCGCGCATACTCGCGCCCTTGGCGATCGAAAGTCTGGAGGGGAAGAAGCAGACATTGGGAGACACGTTTCCCGAAAAGGGGGAATGAGAGGTGGGGGAGGCATTCCCCGGGAGTCAACACAGGGTATCACATCAAGCATCGTTGAATCGGAGATCCTCGTGCTAGCCGGATCTCTGCGACCATTGCAAGACAACGCTCATCAGTGGAACGACAACTGGAAGGCGCTGCCACGCCGCTCCCTGTCCTCCCGATGACGCATCACCCTTGAAGCACAGTTCGAGCAACTGAATGCAGGCGCAGGTCAGGCCCACGACTTGGGGGACGTGCAGCGCTCAGACCCGGAACCGCAAGCATGTAGCACCCACGAGGAGCAACAGGCGCGCGGTCATCCCTGCGCGCTACTAGCCTGGTGCATGCAAACACCTTGGTATCCGAATTTCACCATAACCCCACCCACCCCCGCCATGCGCACGCCTCCCGTTCACCCCTGTCGCTTCTGCTAACCTGTCCCACTTCGCGCCGCTCTGGCCGCGGCAGATCGGCCAGAGGTACAGCTCCGTACCCACACCACAACCCAAGAACTCGCAGCAATCAGACCCGTGATCGCAAGACATTGGGTATACAGAAGCTGCTTCGGATCAAAGATCGTAGCTTTGCCATCATCGTGCCAACACAGGTGCCTGAGGACATGACAAAGTCCGTCGCGGAATGACAAGTCGATTCCTAAAGCACTCCACCATCCTTGGCCGCGCGCGCCTCCACCTGGAAGGCCCTGCAGGCGTGCGCCAGGGCAAGCGAAAACACGCGACCGATGCTGCAGAGGGGCTCGGGGCACCCAGCCTGCGACGCACGACCGCGGGCGCGAAGCGTGCACCCTGCAGGCTCGCGTCGCGTCGAAACCCCGGCGCTTGGTTCCCGACACCGCGGGGACCGCTCCAACCTCGAGAACGACCGGCGGCCTTTCGACCGCCCGATCGTTCCATGCCTCCTCCTCCTCCTCCTCCTCCTCCTCCTCCTCCTCCTCCTCCTCCTTGATTGATCGGCCCTTTCAAGAAGGCCAGATCGTTCAAAGATGGGCCGACTCTGGGCCACAGGCGACGTTCAACCTCAGACGCCCGCGCCGAGGTCGCCGCCGGGCGGGTGCGCATCGTGCACACGGCAGGCTCGTGTCGTGACGACCGCGGCGCTGGCTTCTGGCACGGCGTGGATCGTTCAACCTGGAGCGATCGGCAGCTTTCCGACCGCCCGATCATTACAGGATGGGCCGATTCTGGGCCACTGGCGGCGTTTCACCTTGAACGCCCGCGGCGGGGTCGCCGAGGGTCGACACGACGCGACCTGCCGTACACAACCTCATATCGGATCCAGTTTGCACAGTCGTCATGGCGCAGACTTGCCGTCTGCGATAAGTGCTGTGGTGTTGTGGTGGGCTGCCTCCTCCCGAACCGCCCGATGTCATGTGTCCCCGAACCGATTGTTCGACATCGGAGTGTGGACAGCAGCCACGACAAAGCAATCTGATGTGCCCGAACCCATAAGAGCAAACACTTAGCATCCTCCTGGAGCTTCGGACAAAATCTCTTGCGCACGGTAATCTTACCGTGGCCATCCCGATGCCTGTAAACCGTCCGATCGATTTTTCGGTGGGACATTCGCGAAATCCACTCCACTCTGCCATCCGTCATCTCCTCGTCCCTCTCCACGCTGCTCATCCCCATCCTGCGCCAGTTCACCTGGCCGTCTTATGCGGCCCCTGATTGAGATGTCGGCACTTGGGTCAGTACTAGCAGCACTCAGACTCATAACCGCAAGCACTTAGCATCCACATGAAGCTTCGGATCAGGTCTCGTACACACGGTGATCCTGGTGCTGTTAGCCCGACGCATGCACCCCTCACGACGGGTTCTCTGTTGTATCTGTAAATGAATATACACAACGACAGAATCCGCTGCACTCCGCCATGTGTCCTCCCCTCGCCCCGCCCCTGTTCCTGCTCATCCCCACACGTCCCAAATCCATAAGACAACCGCGAAGCACTCGCCAACTGGATTCACAGGCCAGCGCGTGAGTCAACAATAGCAGCACTCAGACCCATAACCGCAAGCACTTAGCATCCACATGGAGCTTCGGATCAGGTCTCGTACACACGGTGATCCTGGTGCTGTTAGCCCGACGCATGCACCCCTCACGACGGGTTCTCTGTTGTATCTGTAAATGAATATACACAACGACAGAATCCGCTGCACTCCGCCATGTGTCCTCCCCTCGCCCCGCCCCTGTTCCTGCTCATCCCCACACGTCCCAAATCCATAAGACAACCGCGCAGCACTCGCCAACTGGATTCACAGGCCAGCGCGTGAGTTAACAATAGCAGCACTCAGACCCATAACCGCAAGCACTTAGCATCCACATGGAGCTTCGGATCAGGTCTCGTGCACACGGTCATCCTAGTGTTGCCAGCCCGACGCATGCACTCCTCACGACGGCTTTACAGGCCAGGCTGTCCGAGAGTCCGCTACTTACGCAGGACGAACGATGTTCCTCTTGAGGTGCACATGGCGATGATGAGTTCGACAGATAACATCGGCGCCGCCGAACGGATCGCGTCGAAACAAGCTGCGTGCAGCTCGTTCAGGAGAAGAAATACGCATTCATAGTGAAAGGGGTTCCCGCGCGCGGAAAGTTGATGGGAGTGCACGACACAGCACAAGACCCAACCTGGGACGTTGATGACTGAACCCCTTCCCCCGTAGAATCTTAACACGGGCGGGTTCTGGGTCCGCGGATCCGATTTCGTCTGGTTCCCCGCTTAAATTTGATACTATAATTCTAAACCGGGGAGGAAGTCGGATCCGCCGTAAAAATAAAGCACGACGCGGAGCCAGAAAATCCGAAATCGGATCCGCGCGGACGGAAACCGGATCCACCAAAGTAAAAACCATAACCGCTCGACCTTCATGGGGTCCGACGGCGGATGTCTCAAACGCGTCTGTTCAACACTTCAAAAACCGCCGTTCTGGGCCCAAGAGGACCAAACTCTCGTCCTGGGTATGTGCTCTCCGCCATCCGTCCTCCCCTCGCCCGTCCCCCTCCCTGCTCATCACTACCCAGCCCCAGTCCACCAGACCAGCTGGCATTGCTCTCGCCAACTGGATTCGCAGGCAAGTGCCTTGGCCAGCACTGGCAGCACTCAGACCCATAACCGCAAGCACTTAGCATCCACATGGAGCTTCGGATCAGGTCTCGTGCACACGGTCATCCTAGTGCTGCCAGCCCGACGCATGCACTCCTCACGACGGCTTGTCAGGTAAGACTTCCCCAGAGTCCGCTGCTCTCAGCCATCCGTCCTCCCCTCGCCCGTTCCCCTCCCTGCTCATCCTTACCCAGCCCCAGTCCACCAGACCAGCTGGCATAGCTCTCGCCAACTGGATTCACAGGCCAACGCCTTGGCTAGCACTGGCAGCACTCAGACCCATAATCGCAAGCACTTAGCATCCACATGGAGCTTCGGATCAGGTCTCGTGCACACGGTCATCCTAGTGCTGCCAGCCCGACGCATGCACCCCTCACGACGGCTTGTCAGGTAAGACTTCCCCAGAGTCCGCTGCTCTCAGCCATCCGTCCTCCCCTCGCCCGTCCCCCTTCCTGCTCATCCCTACCCAGCCCCAGTCCACAAGATCATCTCGCGTAGCACTCGCCAACTGGATTCACAGGCCAGTGCCTTGGCCAGCCAGCACTGGCAGCACTCAGACCCATAACCGCAAGCACTTAGCATCCCCATGGAGCTTCGGATCAGGTCTCGTGCACACGGTCATCCTAGGGCTGCCAGCCCGACGCATGCACTCCTCACGACGGCTTGTCAGGTAAGGCTTCCCCAGAGTCCGCTGCTCTCAGCCTTCCGTCCTCCCCTCGCCCGTCCCCCTTCCTGATCATCCCTACCCAGCCCCAGTCCAAAGATCATCTCGCGTAGCACTCGCCAACTGGATTCACAGGCCAGTGCCTTGGCCAGCACTGGCAGCACTCAGACCCATAACCGCAAGCACTTAGCATCCACATGGAGCTTCGGATCAGGTCTCGTGCACACGGTCATCCTAGTGCTGTCAGCCAGCCCGACGGATGCACTCCTCACGACGGCTTAGCAGGTAAGACTTCCCCAGAGTCTGCTGCTCTCAGCCTTCCGTCCTCCCCTCGCCCGTCCTCATTCCTGCTCATCCCTACCCAGCCCCAGTCCACAAGATCATCTCGCGTAGCACTCGCCAACTGGATTCACAGGCCAGTGCCTTGGCCAGCACTGGCAGCACTCAGACCCATAACCGCAAGCACTTAGCATCCACATGGAGCTTCGGATCAGGTCTCGTGCACACGGTCATCCTAGTGCTGCCAGCCCGACGCATGCACTCCTCACGACGGCTTGTCAGGTAAGACTTCCCCAGAGTCCGCTGCTCTCAGCCTTCCGTCCTCCGCTCGCCCGTCCCCCTTCCTGCTCATCCCTACCCAGCCAAAGTCCACGAGATCACCTCGCGTAGCACTCGCCAACTGGATTCACAGGCCAGTGCCTTGGCCAGCACTGGCAGCACTCAGACCCATAACCGCAAGCACTTAGCATCCACATGGAGCTTCGGATCAGGTCTCGTGCACACGGTCATCCTAGTGCTGCCAGCCCGACGCATGCCCTCCTCACGACGGCTTGTCAGGTAAGACTTCCCCAGAGTCCGCTGCTCTCAGCCTTCCGTCCTCCCCTCGCCCGTCCCCTTTCCTGCTCATCCCTACCCAGCCCCAGTCCACAAGATCATCTCGCGTAGCACTCGCCAACTGGATTCACAGGCCAGTGCCTTGGCCAGCACTGGCAGCACTCAGACCCATAACCGCAAGCACTTAGCATCCACATGGAGCTTCGGATCAGGTCTCGTGCACACGGTCATCGTAGCGCTGCGAGCCCGACGCATGCACTCCTCACGACGGCTTGTCA